TATATATATATATATACATACATACATACATACATACATATTATCTTAAATATGTTGCTCTTTAAATATTGCTGTGTTTCAAGGCAATTTGCCACTTGTTGCCATGTGTTATATTTGTGAAGAAGAGTGCGATGTAGAACCTGGCCTCATTGACTGGTGGTGTTGTTGGTGTCAGAGATGTGTTCACGAAACATGTAAATCTGCTCTTTCTGAAGTAATAATATATTGATTACATTCTTTTTTATATACTTTTTATTCATTTTCTCATTCTTTTTATTCACATTCTTATATATTTTTCTTTTTTGTTGCAAAAATTACCATGATAGTTTGAAAATTTTTGACAAATATATTCTAAAATTATATTTATTCTATATAATTTTTTGAAGTGTAACAGTGTAGCAATGTTTCTACTTTTCTGCTCCGAGAAAATGAAAAAAGTGTACTCTTTTCAGATATGTGATTTTGGAAAATTTAAATTAATGATCATTCCACCGGGAAGTTTAGAAGTAATAAATCGACGTAGCACAATGAGACGTAGATTACATCTCCGTTCTGTTATACCACCAAACTGGCCTGATTGGAACCCGATTATTGTTGTAGGTAAGAGAAAAAAATAAATAAATAAATATCATGCTTCAAATGTATGTAAAAGATAAAATAATAATATTTGAATATATTTTTTTTATTATTCTCCTTTTTGTGCAGGAAATAGAAAATCAGGGAACAACGATGGAGGTCAAATTTTGTCTCTGTTCAGAAGATTGTTAAATCCTGCACAAATCGTAGATTTAGCAGAACGCGATCCAGTTGCCGCTCTCGAATGGTGCCGTTTGCTAGGGAAAACCCCATCCACTATTCTCGTAGCCGGCGGCGATGGAACTGTCGCATGGTTATTGAATACTATCAACAAGCTCGACTTGGAGGTGAATCCTTTTTAATAGCAGCACTATTAAATGCGCATGGAGCACAAGTAACAAACAAATTTTTACACGGTACAGCCTGTTCCATCTGTAGCAATAATTCCTTTGGGGACAGGCAACGATTTATCCAGAGTATTAGGATGGGGAAAGGAACATGATTCACACATGGATCCCATGGAACTATTGCGGAAGGTGCAAGCGGCGGAGAAGGTGAAGCTTGATAGGTACGCGTGATAAAAACCTGTGCAATTTTTCTAATTTACCGATTAATTAGATTTGTTTTTATGTACAATTTATGAACTTCAGATGGTCCGTGATGATAAAACCACTCGGCGGATTAGGATTCAGAGGTTCGCATCATTCTTTATTCATGTACAATTATATAAGTGTGGGCGTGGACGCACAAGTGACTTTGGATTTTCATCGCACAAGAGAGAGTCGATTTTATTTGTTCAGCCATAGAATATTTAACAAGGTCTCTTTATCTCTTTGTAAATTTATGTATAGATAGAAATTTCTGCAAGTGAATACAATGATTTATATATGTTTTGTATATCGGTAGCTGTTGTACTTATGCTTTGGCACTCAACAAGTTGTGGAAAGGGAGTGCAAAGATCTCGATAAAAGTTTAGAAGTCTATTTAGACGACAAAAAGATAGAATTACCTTCCATTGAGAGCGTAGTGATACTCAACATTCCTTCTTGGGCCGCTGGAGTTGATTTATGGAAAATGGAAGGTCCATATACTTAATAATAATTGATTTAAATTTAGCTTAATAATAATCGTACGTGTTGTTTGACAGACGATGAGAATTCCGAAGTGCAAAGTATTAACGATGGCAAATTAGAAGTCGTAGCACTCTATTCTTCATTCCATATGGCTCAGCTACAAATAGGCCTCTCGAAACCACACAGGATTGGTCAAGCTAATAATGTGAAGGTATTAAAATTGTCTCAACAATTCTCAAAAAAGTCTGTTTGACTATATGTATTTGTATACGATAATACATTACAATTACAATTATTACAATTATGTTTAGATAAAATTATCACGGCCATGCGCTATGCAAGTGGACGGCGAACCTTGGTACCAACATCCATGCGAATTCAACATAACATATTGCAATCAAGCTACTATGTTGATGAGCAACGATTTTTAAATTAAATGTGTCGCGTGACCTTATAGGCATTTATTGCATATTGCACAAATGCATTTATTCATATTGTGCGAATATTGACTAATAGTTGCCAAATAATCCGTTAATAATATAGCTTCTTGATAACGGTGATGAAAATTTCGAAGGAGACAAAAAACTCTAGTCAATGTTATTCCATATAAAAAAATATATTATTTATCTTTTATGAATTAGCTGTTTCGTAATTTTATTTATTGATGCTATATTTATAATAATATATAAATACATTAACAAAATGGAACAAGAATAAAGAAAATTTGATGTTTACGAAAATCTTTTCTTAACAATCTTAACAATCTTAACAATCTTAATAACTCTATTTTAAATAATATTTTAATTTGTCTTTTTCTTAATCCTTACATTTAATTAATGACGTTTTTGTAATTTCTATCAAACGCATGTGCAATACATTAGTAACTAACTTCAGATAATTTAAAAATTCATTTGTTGCAATACTTCATAATTTTAATCTGTCTATGTAATCTAAAATATTAAAAATGATGTAAAGACAAAATTTCAGTAACTTCTTTCTGATGATGAAACGAGAATAACAAAAACTAATTTTAATAAATTATGACGGAACGACAGATACATTTTTTATTAATTTTAATGACTATTTGGATTTTGCATGAAATGGCTAAAGTGATGAAGGATATTGATTAACATGTATTAAAAATTAGAAAAAAAATTGAAATGAAGTGTGATAAAGACAATTTGCATAAAATGAAATATGTTAAACATTAAAAATTATGTCCAAAGAGAAACAGAAAGATTATTCGTAAGTACATAATAAAATTACAAAAAATAATTTAAAGGACAATTATTATATCTATAATTCGCAAAAAAATAATACAGAAATATATGTACGACAAGTTGCGAATTGTTATGTTAAGATGCTTTATGCGGTTTTTAACACAGTAATTATCAAATTCGTTTCTGTTTGATATTAGAAGGACTCCTTTTTAAAGCAAAACCCAAACTGATCGCATTTATATCGAAGGATCCTAGCAAGTTGTGGTGGTCCACAATAAAAAACTGTAATTTTTCCTTTCTTCTTATCCTGGAGCTGCTTGAATACCTTGTCCCAATTAGGACGACCTGCGTTTGTTCTGGTTTTCAAACCTGTGATGAGATCTCGCTTTTCCTAATAAATGAGAAGTAAAAAAGTGGAAGATTAAAACGTAAACTAACATTAAAAATTTTTTCATTCCTTTTATCACCATACATTTGCAAATTATATAAGTAATTGAAGACATTTGAATAATTACGAAGATATCTGATATACCTTTTCATGTAACAGATCCATCGCCAGTTGTAAGCCGACTGCTTTCATGTCATTTTTTTGTAATGCACTTGTGATATACATATGCATCTCCAAAAAGCGTTCCATGGTGATACCTAATTCAGCTTGTTCCATCTCGAGTTGAGACAGCAAGTTTACAAACCATTCGAACGAACGTTGATCGCGATTAATCCAGAAAAAGTCCACCTAAAACATTTTTTGCTAAATTTAAAGATTACATATAACAAACATAGCATAGGAAATATTTTCTATAATGCAATACTACTAAATGATAGTATTTAGTACTTCAACTTATGAAATTATTTAAAATGAAACTTGTTTTACTTATTTGAATATTAATTTGCATCGCTATGCTGTGCTATCCTTTAGCTTTCCAAAATAAGTATTATTGAATATTAATAAGAATTTTAATAACAACTAATAATCTTACTAATAACAAAGTAATAACTATTAATAGTGACAATTTTTATTATAATAAAATGAGATCAAAAATTAGAAAATGTGAGTTTATTTGCCTTTCGTAAATTCATTACAGTAGGTGGGATCTCACTGGACCAAGAGAATGAGCATTTCGGACATGTATGTCTCGCTTTCCAATATCGATGCATAATCGATTGAAGTATAGAGGCGAAGGGTGTAACTCCGATTCCTGTGCCGATTAGAACAGCATGCTGCGCTCGGAAAATGTGGCTTGATGGTGCTCCATAAGGACCATCTAAAAAAATCTATGACGACGATACATTATTCATTCGGAACAATTTAGTGAAACACTTGACAATTTCGAGAACGTGGTGGTAAAAATCTGTAATAGAAATTATTAGAAGATCTTTACTTCCAATGGTTTTCCTACAGGATAAGTTATAAGTTGATGAGAAGAACATTCGGATTTCAAATCTAGACTTTCTGAACTATCTGTAATATCACTAGATGCTTGTCTCACTCTTCCTTCCTCCGCCGCAATTTGCATCGCTACTGGTGTAATCTGCATCGTTTCATCTCCCCCTATATTCACATTTGTTACTGCAAACAACCACATAAAAATGTACAAACATCGATACAACAAATAAAAATATTATGTGAAATAAATTTGCACCTTTTGATGTAATCATTTTCTATATGTATATTTTAAATTAAACTTTAAACTATTAAATTAAACGATTTCTTCCGTTTATTATTATTATTATTACAATATAATTACAATATACATATTATTACAATATACATATTATATACATATTATTTGATAAAAAATTTTTTTAATAAAATATTTTCAGATAAATATTATCAAGTTTTAATTCTTACCAATGTTCGACGATGCACTGATCTCATAATCATATGTTTCAAGACTCGGTGTTTTGAAAGCGATGATGGTCGGTTTCGTTCGCATGAAACGAAAACTTTGGGCCAACGACTTGTTCTGTGGGCTCAAGTAAGCTAAACCCAATGATTTCAATCGCGCTCGTCTCAGCTGACACTCATCAAAACTCCTCTCGGATTCCGATCTCGCGTAATCTCGAAGTCTATTATATTAAAAATTATATTTTTACGAGTTTGATCATATATTTAAAATATTTATTTTAATTATTTTAGCAATGTTATATTGTTAATAAAATCTTGGAAAACTTAATCAGGAAATAGAACCTGTAAAAAAAGAAACCGCGAAGAAAGAAGGATAACTTTTCAAGAGCAAATACGTCTTTTATATAATGTCAATTTACTCACGCTCTAAGTCGCTCTTTCTTCTTGCTTTTCGTTTGCATATCAGGCATCGAGTGTGATTTTTCGAGTGGTATTTTATGACCAAGAAGTAACTGATGGAGTCTCCTGTCTTTTTTTGTAGACATTTCTGACCATATTTTATTTGATTCCAACGTATCTATTATATAAATAACATAAATTTTTAATATTAATTGTAGAAATAAATTTTTAGTATATATATATATATATATATATATATATATATATAAAATGATGTAATTTTAATTAATTAAATTGATACAAGTTTGGATATATTATAATTTTCTTATTTACATATACATTACATTAAATATATATTTTTTTAAATCTTACGTTCTGCAGTTTTTAAATATGCAGATTGATTATTAATAGATGTATGTGCAGGTGGCATGGGGCTCGATAAATCAGATACGAAGGAAGGATTGCCTAGACCATGAGCAGATATAGATTCCATTGAACCTTTTTGTGTCATGATAAGTGGTGTCTTTCTACCACTAAGGAATCTACACAATGACAATTATTAAAAATGCTATGTGATATACAATAATCAATTGAGAATACAATTTAATAGTAATTAGAAATTATAATCTTTAATTATTTATATGTTAATTATTATTTGTATAGTTCTTGCAAAAATTTTTAATTAAATCACGACAAACTTACGGTTTCTTTCGGGGAATACTCATAGCGTCACAGTTTTCGACAGGCAAAATATCACTATGGTGAAGTTTCATTTGTTCTCTTTCAAAATATGAGTACAAGCTATTGGTCCATTCACCGACCGCACGAATGTGCAGCCACATGTAATCTATATAAAAAAATAATATATTAATTTTAAAACGATTAATTAATTTTTTTACTCTTAGATTTTATTAAAAATATATATCTATGCAATATCTATCCAGTAACAAAAGGCAACATCAATAGAATGTAAAAATTCAATAACTTACCTTCTTGTTCGGGAGCACTGCTAATGGTAAAAGGATGCCATTCGTATTTTGCTATTATCGGAATATTAACAAACACATAATCGCCGGGATGAAAGTGAAAGTGGGGTGGTCTCTTGATGACCAAGTGAGTCACCTTCGAAGGTAAAAGAAGACCGGAACTTATATACGTCTTTCCGCTCTTAGAACGTAACCATGTCCATCGACGAATCTTTTCGAACATGTATATAACCCCCGGGCCGACAAACCACTTCCAAAAATTAGGACCATGAAATATCATTAGAATCCAGAATGGTATGTATAGCAGATGAGACCAATAAAATACCTTGCGACAAAAAATTATTTTAATTAAAAAGATGAAGACATTCTTGCTCCTGAATATATTCGATTTTAAAAATCAATGCCATACAATCTTTAAAATTAAAAATAATAATGTAAGAAATATTCGTACCTCAAAGCAACCTCCACGTCGTACAAATGGCATAGAACAAACAATCATAATGGTGAGTATAATAAGCAAAACTACCCCAGTTGGATAAGCAGTGCCTGCCACTAGACCGAAACGTCCAGGTCGAGTCGTCAATAACCATTCAGACATGCTATAATTTCCGCTATTTATTTTCTCATCCTTTATCATTACCGTACCTACAAATATATCATTATTAATTATATTAAATATTATTAATTATAATTTTTCAGCATAATTAAATATAATGTAAGAATATTAATTAATTAAATAATATATTAGAAACATAATTATACACGCGCGCGCGACGCGCGCGCGCGACACACACACACACACACACACACACACACACACACACTACACACACATAATATAGTCTTATATATAGTCTTACATTAAATTTAGACTAAAAATTTTCAGTACTTCTATGTTAATATAAATATAAAGTATAAGACTTCATGATTAAATTAAGGAACACATTTAAAATAATATTCGTTTAACATACCGCAGTAAATAATATGAGCTAAAGTGTGTATAATGCTGAAGATTCCGATTAATATTCCCGTCATTTTATGAAGATATATGTGATGATCTAAGGGCAATATAGAATTGAAGCTATGCGTTCGCAAGAATGTGATACATTGGCGTAGCATCAGAACCAAAATAAATGTGCAATCAAAGTTCAGGCATTGTCCTAAAATATATGTTTGAAACACATTCATTAATTCTGTCAAAATAAATGTCTTTTCAAAATAAATCATTAATTCATTAATGTTTTAGATTTTTGCTTTTAGACATTAATTTAGCAATAACTTAATCTAAGCTTTAACAATATTTGCTAAATTAATCCCAAATTTTTTAAAAAGTTTTTAGCTAATATAAAAATGAAATTGTAATAATATGTTTATAATATGTATAATATATATAAATGTAATAAAAAACTGAATATTATAGGCTTATATTTTTCTTACCGCATGCACGTGCGAACATCACATAGACATGGTTCTGTCGATACTCATAGAGACGAGAAACAAAAAGAGCCATATTGATAAGCATAAATATCGAAATAAAGGCAATATACATATAATTGTTCTTCATGTATGGCTTTGTAAGTTGATATGGAAGAAAGGATGAAAATTCTTTCAAAATGGATTTTTGCTTTGGTTGTGGCTGCGGTGGTACCAACCATCGATCTATGCTGTGATTATTATATTCTTATTTCTTAGGTTGGATATTTTTTTAAAAATTAAAAAATGTACTAATTGAAAATTTAATGTTATAGTTAAGAATATCAATAAGAATATCAAAGCTTTAGATTTCATAAAAACTGAAAAAATTCTTTTAAAAATGATTTCAAATGGTATGAACTTTAATATTTATATATTTCTTGCTTATCTTGTATAATTTTTTATCTAACCTAATGGAGAGATTTTCCAATAAACCATCGTGTTTTTCTAATTGCTTTTTTAAAGCTTCAAAAGTAATTGCTCCTCTGTTGCCTTGATCAGCATCCTCAAAAAGTGCAAGTGTCAGATCTTCAATTTGTTCGTCGCTAAACTTCATTCCGTTTTCTTCCATACAAGCTCTCATCACGTGTTCCAACTCGCGAAGTTGTATTAATCCATCGCCTTTAATCATTTGGAAAGCATGGAAGTATAATAAAAATGATTCATATTCAAATAAAAATATTAAAAAATTTAAATATCATCCTAATTTTCCATAAATATATTTTAATTTCTCAAAAATTTACAAAAATTTAACTTTCATAAACATATAATACATACATAAATCATAGGTATGTCAATATATATTACCATCGATATCATAAACTTTAAAGAGAAATCTAATCTTATCGTTTGGAGACTTTCCAGCAAATTGATGCATAGCGTCTAAAAATTCCTGTAGTGAAATTGTGCCAGAGTTATCCTTATCAAATATTTGGAAGACTCTCTCAGTAAAAAATGGCTAAAAATAATAAAACAACTTGATATTTGACTTATTTCTTTGAGTAAAATTGATATATTTGTTTCTACTTGATGTAAATTTTGCATTCAATACACGCACTCAATACATGAGTTTGTATAAATAATTGAAATTGGTAAATATGGGAGAAGAAATAAAAATAACAGCGAGAAAAGGAAATAAACTATGAATTACGAATATTAGAAAAGTAAGAAATTAGAATTTTTCATGTTTGAGAGATGAAGAATAATTATGTCTCCTGCCTACGTTTTTCGAAATGACGATCGTGTTGAATTCCTCTCGACGTATTTCCCTCTCGTTTCCAACAGTCTGCTTAAATATTTTTTCCAGCCACTCGAGATTCCCTTTATCGAAACCAGCACGCGGTCTGATACAAGATTTTAGTTAGTTAATATACAACGACAATTCGAAGACTAATAAAACTAAAAATTTTTAATGAGAACGTAAGCTTGGTATCAAAAATAATAACAACAAATCTTTATAGCTTTGCAATAAACGCGTTACCTGGGATTACTCACGCCAGTTATGGTCTCCATGATTTGGGCAGACGTTACGTATCCTGAATTCTCTTGATCAATTAATCGAAATAATTTATCGACAATCTGTGATATTGACAAAAAGATACTTAAATATAAAATGTATCTGAAAATATTTATATGTATAAAAAATAAATATATTCATAAGCAATTAGAGAATTCAATTAGAGAATATATTGAATTGTCGTGTCTCGCCGTGTTGCTCATGTCTTACTTTACATTCTCTCGCGACAGTGATGTATTGAATCTCTTTCGATCGTCTGTTCGATCAGTATTTATTAATTCGTCTAACATCTAATTATATTGTTTCATGTAATGATGACATTTGTTTTACTAAAATTGTTTAAGTATTTTATAAATTTAAATAAAGCATTATTTTAGATATAAATTACTTTCACTTACGTGAAAATTTTATTTTTTCAATTTTTTTTGTTTTAGTTCAACAATTATTTATCTAGATAATTATAAAGTTTAATTTTTTTAGCTTATTTGTTTTAGATTATTGTTTTAGATTATATAAGAATAGTACAACTTACCCCTTTGGTATAAAAGATCTGCTGAAAATTGGAGAGATTTATTGGATTCTCTCCGCATAGCACATATGCCACACTTTCGATTTGATCAATGAAATCATTTTGCTTCTCGTTTCTAATAAATAAATAAAGACAACATTGAACGGAACGTATATAAATATATCTAAAGTACCATTTAGACGATAAATAACGTAAAAATGTTATGTGAATAATGGGAATTGATTCTTACGTCAGTCTCCCCTTGAGAAATTCAAGCCATTCATCCTGCTTTAGTAATCCGTCACGGTCTTGATCGAACAGTATAAATAATTTGCCAAGAAGAACCTGAAAAAAAACGTTGATAAATTGTAAGTGACAAATGTTAATTTTCCGTTTAAAGATCGAGTGAAAAAGATAGATGTCGCAAATTCCTGGAATAACAAAGCTTCCATGAATTTCATTTCGTTTCGTACTATCCGGCTTGGAATACGATGGTATGTGCTTATCATCACTCTTAGAAGATTGATAGTGAGATCATTGAGAAACAGATTTGCAGATTTGCTGCAAATCGTCTAAAATCTCTTTCTTTCTCTCTCCCTCTCTTTCTCTCTTTCTCATATTTATTACACGCGTGTAATCTGGGGCAAAGTTAATATGTGATAATGGAGGTGTATTTATTAAAATTCTAGCCTCAGGTGAGTATGACGGTGTCAACGTTAACATCGATATGACGCGTATCGATCACCATCGGCGTGGATCTCGACGGTCGGTTGTACATATATATTTCACTCGTAATCGTTAAGAAATGGGTCAATGTCATGAGAGATTACACCGCATGCTCCCTCGTTACATACGAGATCCAGAAACGTGTCCCAGCCTCGTGGAATAGTTAGTGAGTATATAAACTGCATCTAAATAGCAATATATATATATATATATATATATATATATATATTAGTCAACAATTTTTACAAAATAATTTTAACGTTAATCAGTAATAATTTAGAATTACGACTATATACATTTTGAAGAAACATTTAGTATTATAAAAAATAAATAAAACAGAATTTACTAGAAAAATTGAAAGATGATTCGTAGAGAAAAATTTGTTATTTAAAATAAGAAAGTGAGAGTTTATGTAATTTATTAATTAAATATATAAGAATTTATTTTTTATTGTATTGCGAGTAATAATAAAAAAGATTAATAGAACAGATTGGATTAAATTTACGACTATTAAACCTGTCCAACTAAAAACTTTAATATGGATTAATTAAGAAACTGCATATACAAAGAACAAAGAAAAAGATTTTCCAATTGCAATTACAATCCTACGACTAATTCGTGTTCGGCTTCTAAAATAAGCGATATGAAGGAAAAATGTTGATGTGTCTCCAATCAATCAAATCAATTCTCCATTTCTAACTTTCACAAGAAAAATAAGAGAAAAGATAATTTTATTAATGCAGTATTTATGTTAATATTGTAAACTGTAAATGTATATTTAACGATGCTCGATCGATAATGACAATTGCACTTTGGCGAGATTAGCGCCGAGAGCGGTTAAAGGGTTAATAGATGGCTGGTAATCGAGGTAATCGAGGCCCCGGCCGACTCTACGCTTTGCTCTACGATTGGTCCCCACGATCGATCGATCGGTCCCAGGCGACCGGCCGGGAGGCGCTCGGGGCATCAAGGCCTTGCGCCCGAGGTGATCGGCCACCTTGATCGAAAACCGGAGGCCCTCGATAGACCCTCGTTTACTTCGATCATATCGTCACCGTCGCCTCAGGTCTCCTTTTCCTACGCGGATCCTCGAGAGTGGACTCATTGCCCGCCGAACGAACGCGATCTTCTACAAAGGAGACGATTGTCCGACAAATGGGTCCACGGTTCGAGATCGCAAATCTCAGTCGAAAGTATTTCAGTTCCGATAAGGAAATCTCGTCGTGCCTCGTGGCTCTCCTTATTCGGGCAAAGTATCTTCTTACATATAATTGGAAGAGCGATTCCGCGCACGAATGGAATTTAGTCTTTTTATTCTGAGATAAAACAAATAGATATTTGTTTGTGCGGGGAGAGACAAACTTCAAATCTGAAAAGGCAGTGCTGTTTTATCCATTTGCTACGAGTCTTTGTAGATTCAGGCGCCAGATAAATTTTTTCATTGGCGAAATAAAATTGAAATTCTACGCCTTATTAATACAGGTGATAAGTATATATACGTCACGCTTGTTAAAAAGCATTGCGCAATCTTAAACGGTATAATGACAGCATATTCCGGCGGAGTGTGAAATGATTGACTGGGTAGACGATTGTAATTCGAAAGTGCCGCAACGTGTGTGCGGATGCGTGTTTTGTTTTTTTTTATCATATTATGAGTGACAGTTTAAAAAGAAGGTACTTAAAAATTCAGAATATAAAGGCAAAAACTTCTTTTCCATATTTTGATAAAATTTTTTTTAAGGTTACAAGATAATTTATTAAGTAGAATTTAATTTCTGATGAGAAAATTTTTGAGAAACATTAACTTACATTATTCCTAAAAAAACAGAGAATATATACATTTTCTTGTTTTTAAATAATCTTTCTATTTATATTATTTGAAATATGCAAAGAGAAGAGAGAGAAAAAGAGAGATTATTAAATTAAGTTTAATTCCAGGATCATTTGATTATTCAACTCCAGAACTTGTTTTAAATAAGCAAAATTTAATATTAAACTAAAAGATAAAACTGATAAATTTATTTATTTTTGCAATATATTCATTATCTAATCAATTTTATATTCAATTATTAATAATTAATTAAAATGTAATATCAAAAATATTTAATATCGAAAATATATTATTTCAATATCTAAATGCAAATAAATCACGTAAAAAGAACAAATGGAAAAAATCTGTAAATGGTTTTTAAAAGAACCATAATTGCTCGACAAGCCAATATCCCCTGGTGACGTAATGTTGAAGTTTCATGTTTAGTGCCACACGAACCTTCTTTTTTCTCACGAAAGAAAGTGAGGCGGCAAGCCAATAATTACAATAATTGCAATTCTTCATGGCCGCTTTAAAAAAGTATCGGATTACAATTGCGAGGACGCTCTACCTTCTTGTTATAAATTTGTGCTGATTTATTAAAAAGTTAATTAGATTACAAATTTGTAATTATGTAATTATGTATTTCCTGTATTATTTAGTCTTTTATTTTGTTTGATATTACAGAAAAAAACGAGTGAAGTTGAAAGTACTCTTTAATTTTATAAACAATCTATAAAATAAAATTTATAAAATTTATTCTATATTTTTATTTTTTTGTCTTTAATTTTCTATATATTTTTTAGTCTAGAAATTTTAACATCATCTAGTTTTGCGAATGCACATCATAATTTATATATCCATTATTAGAATCATTAAAAGTTAAAATTTATTTGCGATTTGATTTAATTATGACAAAAAAAATTAAAATATTTGCTGACGCAATTAGCTTTTTGTACAACCTTCTTCCTAAAAAAATTTTGAGATAAATTACCTGTCGCGCAGAGAATAATACAGATATATATTTCGATGAACGTAAAAAATTAAACTGTCTGACTATATCTTTTTATATCGCTGTCTTCAATCTTTTCCAATTTTTGCATTTAACAAGAATTGTTTTTTATGAAATATTTTATACCAAGTTTTATGATTTCTTTCCGAAAGATGACGTTTTACTTATTTTATATAAAACGCATATGAAGTTGTTTCGAAACTCTTAAAAAAGTCATCGTAAAATTAATCCGTCATAAAACGCTGGTATATTACTCTCGTATTTTATAAATAAAAGCGGTAATTTTGTGACAACTTTATATATTTATATATATATTTTATATATTTTTATATATTTTGAACAAGTTATATTACTATATTGCTTATATTTATATTTACAGAATTTATTTATATTTGCGAAAACTTAGAATTGTACAAACATGTAAGTTTCATTAATATTATCCTTTTATTTTATTAAAGTTCTTTAAAATTTATTTATTTATTTTCAAAGTATTATTTTTTATAAAAAGGGTTATCAGAAATGTGAACAAGTTATATAAAACAAAAAAATGTAGTCTATTAAAATGAATATTATATGTAATATTTAATTTATTACTTAAATAAATTTATTAGTTAAATTATTAATTAAATAAGTAAATTATGTAAATAATTTATTTATTTAATTAATTAATTATAATTAATTTATTTAGTTGCAATTATGCACACCTGATCGTGAAAAAGTTTCCTAAAGGTCTCCTTGTTGTAGCGGCCGGATCTTTCTTCCTGTATTATTTCTTTGCACTCCTTTAGGGCGGTCGTCCTTCTCCTTTCGATCAGGCATTCTTCCTCCATACAGATATTCTCTTCCATGTTACTAAGTACTCTTCGCGGTATGTGTGAGGAACAAGAGTGTCACCAAAAAAACAAGATCACAGTTACTTTGGCAATTCATCACGAGATCAACAAGATTCCTGGCATTTCTCGTCACTCGCTCGTTCTTGTTTTGGACACAAATGATTCAACGACTGAGTTGTGATACTTGAATGGAAGATTATATTTATCAATTTTCACTGTGTTCAGTCCAAAAGACTACATTTATTGTGTAACCAGTTTAAGTTATAATTAGTATTACAAAAAGCTAAAAAAAATTAGTGTCTTTTTCTTTACAGTTTCTGTAAATGATCGAGAAGTTTCAATGTTTTCACACAGCTTTCTTTTACAAATTTATAAAAGTAAGTTGACCGAGGAAATATAACGAGAAAAGAGGATATTATACTTTTAGAAAATATTTCATTTTTAATTATTTTTATAAATTTAATTTTTATAGATTTAATTTGACTTTTTCATCCCCCTTTTTATTCCTATTTTAGTCTTAGCACTTGATTTGGATTAAAAGAATAGGAAGAACTTTTAATAAGAAATTCATTATGAACAAATATGAAAACTCTCAACAAACGCTAAAATCACTACAATTTCTATTTTATTTACCTTAGTTTCATAAACAATTTAAAAACATAGATAGCATTAATGTACAAACAACATAAATACATTTATTCCTTGCAACTATGAAACATAAATTGCAACTATTGTTTTATAAATTTTTCTTATCGAATGAAATAGTAACCTGTATCAATTAAAGAAAGAAAAAAGAAGAACGTCTTCTTTCTTTTCTTTGTCGAAATTTCACTTTTGAAGGCTCAAAGTCCGGGAGAAATTTGTTGACTCTCGTCGCATTTCCTTATGTACGGATTAGGATTCGGCGACAGTTATGAATAATATGATAAGTAATTCGCGTGTAAATGTAATCTCTACCTTTCGGAAACCGAGATCTCGAGTTCAACGTACGTACGAAAATTCACTTTATCGTCGCGTATCAACAAGCGAGATCATCCGCGTTAACGCGCTTCGGAGTCACTGAGAGAAGTCCTGAATGAAAATCATCCTCGGGGCATCAACGAAACGACGTTCGCGCGAGTGTCGTCGGCTGGCTGAAAATGTTGGTGTCAAACGCTCGTATTGGATCCCAGGACGACACAGTGAGGGAAAGAGAAAGGAAGACAGAGCGAGGAAGGGAGATAGAGATCGGTTTTGCTGGCAGATACAGATCGTGTTGGGGGACGTAGAGGAGACGGACAACCTTTCACTTTTTGACATATTCTGGATTCCCTCCCCCCCCCCTCCCCCCCTCCTCGTGGTCCTCCTTGTTATTTTTACTTCTTTGTTTTCTGTCATTATATTTTTTTTCTTCCTCTTTCTACTTCGAGTTGGATCCATGCTAACAGGTGCAAACTCCTATCGATAATGTGCCGAGTTTCCGTCTTGTATAAACTTGCGGAGGAACGAGTTTTAATCCGGATGGCATTCCACGTTTTCTCGAAATGCTCGATTTACAGGATTTCTCTGCTTCCTTGTTTCGTCTTTTATTACAACATCTCCTTGCATTCTCCTTGACGTTTTTCTTCGACGGCAAATATTTTACAGATGCTATCTTCAGATTTCTTGATCTCTCGCATTAATATGCATGAACGGTCTTACTAACTTATCAGATTATTTTTAACATTTTATTAACTTTTTGATATTTATGCGTATTTAATTTATTTGATAGCCCGTAATTACGTTGCATGCGTTCTAATTATATATAAAAGTTCCTTCAGATATATTAAGATCTGAAAATCTATACTTACAAGTAATTTGAGATTACCAGAATTAGGTAATAAGTAAATTTGATTGCAAAGAAAATATTTATCATTACGTATCATTTTTTACGTATCAAAATCATTTTTTATGTAAATATTCTTTCATATATATGTATGTATTTGTGTGCGTAAGTTGCATTTTATTAATGGTGAATTGGTCATTATTATAAATGCCAGATGTTGCGACAAGTTTTGAGATAAGATTAATATTTTTCTTTTTCATGCACATGATATATTATAACAACGTATAATAATAACATATTTTTAATAAAAAAAAACAAGATTTATTCGTTGACGATATTTATTTGTCGATGCATGTGTCAGAGATTAATTATTAAGGTCGTTTTAGGTATATGTTTGTCTAAAAAATATCAGTTTTAAATATTACAGACATTTTACTTTGCATCAGATGTTTGAAAAAAATTACGACATCGATTCGATACATCAAACTTTTTCAAATATTTGCCGTCAAATCATTATCGATTGTAATTGCAAAATTTCACGCGCGCGTGAATGCACAAAGTTTTTATTAGTAATAATAATTTAATTTTAAACTGTGCTTGTAGCTTTACATAATAAATGATAAATAGAAAAATGGAATCACATTAAACTCGCCACTAATTAAATGATTAGTTGCTTATTCTAAACGACAATGTACACGACAATGTCAAACATTGTAGTTTTTGTTAGCATTATTGCGACCACGTTCGATCCATAAAGCTCATCTGGAAATGCGCTTGCGCCTCCCGGAGATTAGCACTTGCGCTTTGGAAGTCGTCCACGAGCCGAGTCTTCGACAGGTTTTGTTTGCCTCCTGGTCACTCGGACAGGGTAGAAGCTATGAAAGTGTCCTGAAAAGCTTTGAGATGAGTCTCTCGTCTTTCAAACCTTGGACATACGTTAGTTTCTGGAAAAGGATTTCTTAATACCCAGGATCTAGTTTTTGACAAGGTTTGGTCAAATATCATTATAATTGGCAGTATAATAATTTTCTGAAATAGGATACTATTTAGTTTAGAATTTTGAGTAAAAGTAAACATTCTTGTATCTCATAAAAATAGTTATGCAAATTTGAAAGTAAAAGCCTAATCTAATAAAAACGATCTTAACATTTTTAAAATATTTTTATTATATTGTTTCAAAAAATATTTGTTTTAAAATTATAAGATGTAAATTTAAAAAAAAATTAAAAGAAATATTAATATTGAAATAAATGTAAAATTCGGAAATTTGAATACACTAAAAGTTAATGTAAATTGTCTAAAAAATATTATTAACAAAATTTATATCTAACTGACTCTTGAAAATTACAATAATTGCAAATAAGAAGGCAATAAGAATCAAAACGCGAATATTAATTTATTTAAAAAATACTTATTACGTGGTAAACAAATTCCTTAATATAACATTGATGGTAGTTCGATCGTTTCGGCTCTATATTGAGCCATCTTCAGCGAGAAAAATACAAATATTGAATAAAACTCTTATTGCCTTCTTATTTTCAATTATTTAAAAAATATTATATTGCAATAAAAAAATTTATTTTACGCACTTATAGATGACGTTCGACGTGATACGATTTATGAATATATTATTCTTCTTTCTTTGGAACGCCGGTGTGATAAAATGTTACAATGTTCCTTGCACATTTAATACTATGTGCATGTGCTGGGTTCAGGACGATGATGATGATTTCACGAAGATGGACATTAGTTGTATGGGAGTTCCATTTGCGCGATTTCCCGGTATGCAATAAAAGATTTATCATCACTATTATACGTGAGAAAAATTCTTCTTGATTATTTTATTATAACAGTATATATACTTTGTATTCTTATATACGGTTTTGTTATCATTATTTACATTATGCTTATAATTATTTTATAAATGGATTTATATTTTTATTTTTATTTCTTTTATCTTTTTATTCTTTTTTTTATATATACATAAATTTATATATTTTTCTCTTTTTATTACAAAGTACATGTATATGTATATATGTAGAAAAAAATTTCAAAATATAATTAAGTTAAATAAAATACGAAAACATTTTAGATGTATCGGTGAGTTATGTGGCACAATTAGACATCGCTGGTTCCGGGATACAAATGTTGGACAATGACGCACTTGCAAGTTCCGCAGGTGTCGAGGCTCTTGGACTAATGAGCAATCGATTATCCAGCATAGGTGATAAATCTCTATTGTAAGTTTATTTTCTTCTTTCTTTGATTATACTCTGACATAATTCTCCATAATAAAAATGTTTATTTTTTACATAAAGTATTTATTATAAAATGTTTTAAGCCAAGTTATTTCAAACTTTTTAAAAAATAAACATATTTCTGTGTAATTTAATTCATTATTGCATTTTTTTTAAGTCAAATTAAAAAAAATGATTAACAGATTAATACTTTTATTATATCTTTTTGTAAGAGGTGTTACGGACAGTCTACGTTCCTTGGACCTAAGCTACAACTCTCTCGAGGATGTGCCTTTCAAGGTTTTTCGTGATTTAAGGAAATTAAACTGGCTTAATATGCATAGGTATGCGACAACTTGAAATCTTTTATTTTAATGCTGTTGTATTTTTATATATTTATCAAATTTATTATCTAGCCTATAATAAAATTCCTTGTTTTAAAAACTAAAATCGCATTTAAAATTTTTATTAATAAACAAAACATTCTTGTTACAACAATAATTGCAAATTCTTTTATTTCCTGTATTTTTAATTTTAAGCTTATTTATAGAAAATCAATTCACTATTATTATTTTATTATTTTATAACTTTTAAGAAAAGTTACAAAAAGAATGGTATTATTTATTTCGGGAAAAATTGTTTTAAAAATAAAGTATATTTTAATTGTGAACTTTATTATTAATTCTTAGTAATCATCTAACGTCGTTGGATGGTGACTGGGGTCGCACTAAGGAAACTTTGACAAACGCATTTTTCGGCGATAATTCGATCACTGAAGTGCCCAAGATTTTCTCAAACTTCGCTTCCCTGGTATGGTTGAATCTGGACAGTAATAACATTGAGGAACTTTCCAAAGATTGTTTGCCACCGAACATGCACACTTTGAGCATTAATAATAATCTCTTGAAAGAATTTCCACAGTCCTTGGGAGATCTGAAAGAATTAACCTGGCTCTATATGAGAGGAAATGACCTTAAATATCTAGAACTACCAGATTTTCGTAGTTCCAATTTAGAACTGATTGACATCAGCGAAAATTCCATCGAATGGATGAAGACACCCATCTTGAGCAATCATACTATGAAGGTCAGAGATTTTAATCTAGCTGGGAACAAACTGATCTCGTTGCCAAGCAGAATGTTCGATCGTCTTGAGGCTAGAAGAATCCACTTGTCGTCGAATAGTATTAGAAACGTTGACAAAGAAGCATTTCGTGGTTTGGAAGATATTCTCGAATATTTGAATTTGGAAAATAATGATCTGCCGGCGGTACCGAGCGCTGTCAGCCAATTGAGAACATTGTCGTATCTCTATTTGGCTAACAATGAGATTAGAAATATTTCTGGCGAAGCTTTTCAAGAATTTGCGGAACATCTAAAAGCTCTTTCTCTTGCAACCAACAGTCTGGATGCAGTACCTGTGGCTGCTTTATCCAGGTATTTTTGTTTTGTATGTTTTGTATGTTTTACATAAAATGTATTTTGCTTTTAAATTTTGATATTTTTAGAGAGTTTTTTCATAACAATTAATTTCTAACACGCAATGAAATGTATCTTAAAAAGAAGTTTTTTACAAAATAAAATTTTTTAAATAAAATTTTTGAGCACACGTATTATGATAACAAAACATTTATAACAGGTGTCTTTATCATTTACAAGTTACAAAAGTTAAAAAAAAACGTAAAAGATGTGAAATATTAAAATTTAATTTAATAAAATTAATTAAACTTATTAATTAAATTTATTATAAATCCAAATTGAGAAAAAAGGCAGAGGCACAAATAAAAAAATCAATCCATTATTATTGTTCCGTTTCTATAAAAATCTATTTATAAAACGCAAAAGCAAGTAGCTGATTGATACGTATGTTTTTACATTATGTTCGCGTGAATGTGTGCGTAATATTCTATAGATAGACCGTGAAAGGTCAAAATAAATCACACAGTACGAGCTAATAATATGAGATCCTAATAGCGGGAAGAAAGTTCGATGCGATGTATCTGACGATCAATTTTCGAAACAGATGCCAGAGGCTACTGCACCTGAATCTCGGTTACAACAAGATCTCTCACGTCGAGTCGGGTGATTTCGAGTGGGCCGAGGACCTTGAGATCCTATTGCTCAGGAACAATATCCTGACGAAACTGAAAGCCGAGACCTTCAAGGGAGCCGGTGCGTCTGTAATATATTTCTGTTGCGAAAGTATAGCATATCGTCTGAAATAATCGATACATTGTGTCACCGACACAACACCGAGTCAACGATATAAATCAAATTGCTTTGATTTATACGGTGTCATAAGAACCAGTATGACTTTTCATGTGCAAATGTTATAATTATACGTATGCGAATCCATCTTTAATAGAACTTCTTTTTTTTTTTTTTTAGGCAAATTAAAGGAGCTCAGCCTGTCCTTCAATCACTTGACGGAACTCGACGACGACTGCTTTGTTGGTCTCGAAGAGAGTCTGGATATTCTCGAATTGAGTTTTGCCTTCGCTACAGACGTCTTTCCTCAGCGTGCACTCAGACCACTCTCGAACCTTCGATGGCTGGTCTTAGATAATAACAACTTCCAGACAATCGAGGCGACAGCTTTTTATTCCTTCCAACAGCTGCGTTATATCAACATGGAATCAAATAGGCTGCACTACTTGCCTGAAAGAATATTTCTCTCAAGCGTGCATCCGGAGTTAAGGGACGTCAAGTTGGGATACAATTTTCTGGAGGCAATTCCAGAATCAAGTTTCCATAATCTAACAGAGTTGTTGTCTCTCGACTTGACCGGCAATCGCATAAGAGTCTTGACATCCGACTCCATCGTGGATTGTCCAAAGCTCGTGACCATATCTTTGGCTTATAATCGGATACAAAAGATGGAGAGAACCGCGTTGTACGGTTTGTCCAGCTTGCGTTTCCTCCATTTAGAGTTTAATAAATTGACCGTACTGGATTTGGGTGCTATCGCGGAGATCGGCGGTCCCGATTTTGCTTTAAATGTTTCCTACAATGCGATCGCCTTCGTCGACTCGGGATCTATGATGAATAATCTTACCAGATTGGACCTTGGATTTAACAATATTAGCCATTTATCGGCAGATACATTTTATGGAACACCCGATTTAAAGAACTTGCATTTGCAAAACAATTTTCTCTCAACGCTTGATTCTGGTGAGCAAATCTTTTCTTAAAAAAATACAATAGATTTAGATGTTTTATAATGCAAAGTAGATTTTTTTCCAAACACATACAATTTTTGAAACAACGTGTATACATTATTCCAGGAACATTTGCGTTTCCTCATTTGGAAACACTAGATCTAAGCAATAACAGGATAGACACATTGCGCAAGCAATCCTTTCACGGTTTAGAATCCCTTCAGTGGTTAAATCTCGGTGGAAACGAAATAACGCAATTGTCGACGGAGCAGTTTAGAAATTTAAAAAATCTCAGGATCCTAATTCTCTCAAACAACAAGATTCGTTCGTTACCGAAAGACGTTTTTGAGGGCACCAGATTAGAAATCCTCGATCTCAGCCACAATAAATTTACCGTCGTGCCCTCGTCGTCATTCTTGGAAGTCGGCTATACTCTAAGGGACCTCAACATGGCGGAAAATTTCCTGGATCACCTTGACTCGACTGCTTTCCCGACTTCTCAGCTGGTATCCCTGAATCTGGCGCAAAATCGTCTGACTATTCTGCCAGATAATTCATTCGTTTCCCTGGGGAAATTACTGAGCCTGAATGTATCTCAAAACACTCTCCAGGCAAACTTTAAAGAGTTATTTCATTACTTGCCTGATCTTAGACAACTCTACTTAGCTAACTGCGGCCTTAGGAGCATACCGTTACTGCCATTGACGAATCTAAATATCTTGGATTTGTCCTTCAACAATGTCGACGAGACTACTGAAAAGCAGTTTCAATATTTAGAAGGCTTGAAGATTCTTTTACTGGTGAATAATTCGTTGACATCGATGCCTGGTGTTAGATTGAGTCTTTTGAGAGAACTCGATGTTTCTGGCAATCCAATCGAGGTTAGTAAAATTTAAAATATTTGAAAAAAAGCATTTTTCTTCTACTTAAAAATTTTTTAGAAGAAAACACTGAGAACAATAATATGCTTAATAATTTTACAGGAACTGACGAAAGAGAGCTTCCTGGGCTACCCAAGATTAGAAAAATTAAACTTACGAAATCTAAATCGCACCAGATCAGTAGACAAGGATTGTCTGCAACCCTTAAAATATTTAAAACATCTGCGAATTCAAACGTGGCCGCAGGCCGACGGGTTTCATCTGCGTCAATTACTGTCTGGGTTACCGCTTCGAATGGTCGAGATTCAGGTGACAGAGCACCTGTTGAAAAACCAGATACAAAACGTCTTCACAAAGCAATTGAGAGAATTGACGATCACCGGAAATAATCTTGAACTGATCTCTTCCGAAGCATTCTCCACTATCGAAGGCGGAGAATTAGTATTGAGAATCAAAGACACTCACGTTCAACGATTACAATCAGATATTTTTCTATCGTTAACGAAGAGATTGTCGCAGCTTACTTTGGACCTAAGAAACAATTATATCAACGAATTGAGTCCGTCGATAATTTACGGGAATCTTTCCTGGGAGACTGTAGGGACCAACATGGTGGCCGGTAAGATTGTAACATACAATACCAAAAAAATAAAATCAAATTTTGTAATAAAATTTTAAATAACATTTTTTGTAATAATGAAATTTTTTATAATAATTAAAATATGTATATTAACAGACATTAATAATAAATTTTTCTTCAGGTGGATTACAAGTGTCTGGCAATCCGCTCGAATGCGATTGCGAGATTGCGTGGCTGAGTCTGTGGCTGCGTAGGTGGCTCAGAGAATCCCGACAGATCCACACGGCATCGCAATCCGATGCTAGACAACTCAGAACTATAGCTGGCCGTGCTGTGTGCACGGAAACAACTCCATCATACTCCTCCGACAAAGTCCTGCTAACTCTGGGCACACCGCACACCGCTTGCCAAGCGTCCGCTCTTAGCTCGGGAAATTATGAGCGGCTGGCGACAGCTTGGTTAGCCATTGTCAAATTCTTCATCCTCATTTTCATCGCCAATTAACTGAGAATTTATATCACAAATTTTCTTGGGCCTAGTCTTCAAAGTTCACAATGTGATCTTTTCTATAATGTAAGATTTATCAATAAAAGTAGTTAAATAAATAAATGCATTTTTTGTTATGTTTCCATATTTATATAAAAAAAAATAAAAAATGCACACGTTAAAAAAGAAAAAAATTGAATAATAAAAATAACAATTTCAAGAATTTATTTTTATTTACAAACGTAATTGTCATGATTGATTTCACTTGTGCTTTATACAAATGGCGAGGGTAAAAATACACGAAAATGGAAAAAAAATCCTTAAAAATAGAAATAAAGAAATGTAGACAATAAGGTACTTGTAGGAGAATGTATAATGGAAGAAGAAATTTGTAAAAAGGATAAAACTCGTCGATGCGCGATGGTCATATACTTATCGTTCGCGAATTGATGAACACTTTCAATAAAATTACTTTCTCTATACTTCCTCTTGCTTTCGTTTCTTATTTTTTACAGTTTTGCATACCGCGGAGAATTTTACTTTGTTATTGTTTCTCGCTTTTACACAGGTGGTGCTTGCGTGTGTTGTAAACAGCCTTCGACGTTCTCCGGCCAGTCGCAAACATTCTCGTTAGGATTAAAGACCAGGTTCACAGGGCAGGGCATGTGATGTTTGCGTTCGCCCTCGCACATATAATACATTGTGCAATCATTCTTGTCCGCATGATAGGATATATGATTGTCCTCCTCATCACACGACACCTCGTTCGCTGCAAAATTTATTTTTGCAATCACTTGTAATATGTTTCATAAATTTCTTTAATTTTAGAGAGTTTAGTGTTTTATTTTTGTGATATTATCTTCATGTTACTCCTTTTTTTGGTTAAAATTTACGACACGTGATTCACTTACGATCTTTAGTGGTATATTTTCCATTTCTCCCAGTAGTTTCATAAGGCCCATCGTATTCTAGTTTGACTTTATAGTCTTGCAGCTCCTTCTTCATCGCTTTAATCAATGGATACCTTCCTGCTCCGCAGGATCCTCTGAAGTCATCCATATCGACTGACCAGATCATCACGCCACCAAAACCTTCTTCCTTAAGCCAAGTCATCTGTAAGAGGATATATCTTCAGTTTCAAAAATATACGTAAATATACGAGATATATACATAATAACTTGTATTAAAAAGATAATATTAAATATTCTTCAATCTTCGAACAAATAAAAATAAAAAGTTTTTATTGAAAGATTCAAAGATATGCGTACCTTGTTAATAAGACTCCTTTCGTCATCGAATCCAACCCATTGATCATCCCTGTACGCAAATGGTACTTGCTGCTCACTATCCCATACTAGAGTCGTATTGTCTTCGTTTAAGAAACTGCAAACCTATGAAACACTTATTTAGATTAGATCGAGCAATATAATTGATATAAAAAAATTTTAATTTATTGAAGACTGTGTTATATTTATTCTAATAAAAAAAATTATGTTAGCATATATGTAAAGAAATAATTCAATAATTTTTTTTGATCGATCGCATAACTATTTTATCATTTATTTTTTAAACATAAAGTTTACTGTGTAATTTTGCATAAAAAATTCATAAAACGTAAAATATAAATGTTGTTTTATAATTTGTTTAAATATTGTTAAAAATTAGCGCAACACATCGTTGAATATTATATTATATATTAGAAACGATATTGCAGCATACCTCGTAATAAGACAAGAAGCCAGATTCGTTGGTGAAATTTCCTGCCATTCCGCCACCAGATGCTGGTGCACCGATATCAAATTTATCCTTGTCAACCAGCGTGAAAGATCTACCGTACGTAGGCATTCCAATCATGAGTTTTTCCTTTGGCGCTCCTTGCTTCACCCATTCTCGTGCGCTGTAATCCTAAAAATCAAATAAAAATTTTATAGCAGTCTAAAAAGATTAATATTTTAACGTGACATTTTTGTACTTACCACTGTCAACTTTTTCTGATAGCTCGTAGCACTTTCTAAGGGATACAGTGGACTGTTGTGACCAACTTGTCTTTCCCACTGACCATGGAAGTCATACGCCATCACGTTGATGAAGTCCAAATATTTAGATATCTCAGGGACATCGTACCTGAAGAAGAGTACTGTAATTATCTGACAAACTAAAAATCTTTGTATTAAAAATAATAGAGTAAAAATATAGAGAGCAAGAGCATATTTTTTTACTCCTTTCTTTATGTTGCGCTTACGTTAATTTTTGTCAATATTAGTCACGATATTTATGATATTTACCCTGCAGCAATGGCTTCAAAACTCGCAGGCACCGCAGCTGACAGAATTAATTTCGGTTGGCCGGAGCTCTTTGCTTCGCCCTCGAAAGCCAGTCTGAGTTCCTTTAAAAGATTAACGTAGGCCGTTCGATCATCAGCTCCTCTGTAAATAATTCAGAAAACATTATATACGTTATATTTCTAACGAGATACAAAATATATATATATATATATATATATATATATGTGTGTGTGTATGTGTGTGTAATAAAGGAAACCTTGGATATTCCCAATCAACATCCAATCCGTCGAATTTATATTCTCGCAAGAAATCGATAGCCTCGTAGACGAATTGGTTCATCCGGAACGTATTACTAGTGAGCTCTTTGAAGGGCGTTGAACCGAATGCCCATCCTCCGATTGCAAGTAGAATCTAAAAATATCATTACAAATTAGAAATAAGTATTTGCGTTTAATTACAATAATCGCTTTATTTAAATAATATTGTGCTTTAAGTTTCAATCAATTGGTTTCTTTTTAAAATGATTTAAAATTAGGAGAAATTAATAAGTGAGTTGAATGTTTCAACTAAAATAATTTTTACAAAAAGTGACTTTTATCAAGATAATAATTTATAAGAATTTATTTAATGTATAACAGAAGTAAAAGTTTGAATTTTGAATTTTTAAACATAAGATTATTCACCAGCAATTTGGCAACGTACCTTAATGTCTGGATTCTTGTCACGGAGTGCGATCAGTCTCTGGTACATTTCAGCATCTTTATCGCTTCCTTCAGTAAGTAGGTGATCTTTCAAAGTGGCAAACGCGTATACCACGTGAGTGCAGAGAGTCGGATCGATATCTTCCGGATTGAACCGTCCCATTCCCGGCCTCTTGTGCGACCAATTTGTTAGGTAACAAATGGTTTGTGCTTCTCTCTCTGCCAACGTGTAAAAAGACTTTCACTACGAGATAGTTCACCTCTGATTATAGAAATTGTTATGTGGCAAAATAATCTTCCAATAATCATATAAATATCAAGGAAGTAGTGCCAAGTTGTATCAAGAATTTTATATAAGTTAACAGAAATGTAACTTTATAATTTTAGTAACAATTTAATTTGAAAAGTTTACCCTGAATTGGAGTATTAATAACTAGTTGCGTGGATTTCTGAAGCTTCTTCGACTTGCTGAGCACCTCTGAAACGGCAATCTTGTAGGGTTCCGGTTTCTTCACGATTGTTTCTGTGATAGTAGTGGCAACCGCTGTCCAGTCGACATCCTTGGCGTTAGATCCTCGCGAAATACCTCTAAGTTCCTCCCTCATCGCGCCAATCAGAGGATACCGAACATTTCCGCCGCAAACGGTACCATTGAAGTCGTCCATGTCGACCGTCCATACCATTGCACCTCCATAGCCTTTGCTCTTCAGCCAGTGCATTTTATTTCTGATAGACTTTTCATCGTCGAAGCCAACCCATTGATCGTTATACACCAGATAAGGTACTTTCATCTCATCATCCCAAACATAAGCGGCACCATTATGCAGCATCTCACAGATCTGAAATAACAAGATAAATTTAATCCCATGTATTCCTGTTTTCACTTGAAGGCAGAATTTATCTTGATTAAAAGACAATTTTTGTTTCATGTAAATGTTTATGATATTTCTTGGGGATTATAATAGGGATTTATAAGTATCTTGTATAATTTATATAAAAAAGAAATTAAATAAATGACAATGCAATTTTAATTGCTGATAAAATAAATTATAAAATAAATAAATTAATATCTGGACTGTTAGTTTAGATATTCGAGATCTAGATTTGAATTTATCGCAAATGCAAATTGAGCACCTCGTAATATGCAAGGAAACCGGATTCCTTGGTGTATTCGCCCGCCTTTCCACCACCATTAGCTGGGGCGTGTACGCGGAAATTGGCGGAATTCGAAAGGGTGAAGGACCGGCCGTACGTAGGCATGCCTATGATCAATTTTTCTTTCGGTGCTCCCAGTTTGACCCACATGACGGCCGCATTGTCGACACTCAATTGTTTCTGCCATTCCGAGTCCAATGACGAGGCGTACAATGGGGCGTTGTGACCGGTTTCTCTCTCCCATTTCCCGTGGAAGTCATAAGCCATGAGATTGATGAAGTCCAAGTAACTAAGTAGATGAAAAGATGATATTTTTGTCCAAATATTTCTCTATCATTTGATTGAGTTATTACAAATACAGATAAAGTAAATGATAAAGTAAAGTGTGTCACACTTTGCATTTAAATTACATTTGAATAAAATTATATGTTTCTTGAATAAGATAAAATTAAATATTACAAGTTTTTCCAACTTTATTATAAAGTAATAATAAAACATTATTTACTTTTGATAACATTGTGTAGAAAATCCAAAATATTTGTGACATCCAATTTTTACTTAATTTTATATTAATTTGATACTGTAATCACGCTAATTCGACTTTATTTCTTTATTAAGTAACTTAATTAATTATTTTAACTTATTTAGCTCCTTGTTAACGCGTGTATCGTTTTTTGTAAATTTATTCTACATTTTTAATTGAAAACCCTTTTATTATACCTGGCCACAGCCGGCACGTCATATCCGCTCTTGACGTTGTCCGGTCCAACTGGTACCGCAGCGGTTAGCAAGAGACGTATTTTTTTCCTCTCCTGCGCCTCCGCTTCGAAAGCCTCTCGCAGTTCTACGGGAAAATGATGAAAAATGAATTTAAGCCGCAACGTGACGAACATAGGCGACGTACACGAAGAATGAAAATGTCAAGTGCCGTTTCGCATGTTGAACTCGTGTAAGTCTATATAAGATAAAACAATAGGTAATAATCGTCTTATCAAGATCGGCGTGCGCTGACATTTCCAGTCTCGGAAATTTCGCATTGTTGCTGCCCTTTCCGAGGCGAGTCCTTACCCTTCAGCAATAAAACGTAGTTCTTCTTATCGTCCCCACCCTTCGGGTATTCCCAGTCGATGTCAAGACCATCGAAGTTCCTATCTCGCAAATACGGTATGGCGCTGTAGATGAAGGTCTGCCGAGCGTATCTCGTCGAGGACACATCCTTGAACTTCTGCGTGCCAAAGGACCAACCGCCTGTTCGTAACAGGTAAAACAGAAAATAATGCTGTTATTTTTACATCGCTTACCAATTACGTTAATAATTTAGCGGTAATCTTGGAAATCGGACAGATCACGAAATGGACTTATATTAAATAGACTTACCGATCGCAAGCAGGACTTTCAGGGACGGATTGGCTTTTTTAAGATTTACCACCCTCTCGTATAGGCCGATCTTGCCGTCCTTCGTTTCGTCATTCGATTCGAAACTGGTTAGTTTGTTCTTCTTCAGCCATCCGAAGGCGAAGATAACGTGGGTGCAGAGGTCAGGTTGAATGTCCTCCGGCAGGAACTTACCGATCTTCGTGCGATACTGGGACCAATTCGTGTAATAGCATACGAGCTGCGGACGAAGAGGATGTAAACTTAGTACAGAATGTATGTAATTCTACAAGTTTTCTATTTAATGAATTATCAAAAGTTTCAATTAGATTAAAAATTATGATAAAAATTATGGTATTTCTTGAAACACTGTTTTATAAAAGTAAAAAGTATACAAATATCAATAATGCTAAAACAAAAAGGATATCTTGTTTATTTCAAACCATCTTCATCGCTAAGAATTGAAGAGAAGAAAATGTAGCTCGTTAACTTTAAGTTTTAAGTTTATTAATCATTTTTTTTACGCGGATGAAAACGACGAGCGTTGAGCAACCTCAAGCCTGCAATCGTTAATTTCGAAAAGAAATGTAATTAAATAACCACGCTGAAATAACCACGTGAAGAAGAAACGACTTATACTGTCTGATTATAACATCATCGTCAATTTGGCAAACGTTGTTGTGTCTACCTTATAGTCGTTCGTCTTCCCAGGCTGAAGCTCGTTCTTCGTGTTCTTGTTGCTAACACGATTTCGCGTGACTTTGAACCTGTTGACACTGGCTGAGACCTCCTGATCACTCGAGATCGACGGGGCGGAAGTCGTCGGCCTACGGAATCTCTTTCTCGTACCTGACGATACACACATACACAATCGCCGTGTAATTACGTAAATTCGCTCCGATTCTTCCTACGGGTGGTTACGTAACGAATATGCATTTCAGTATTGCGTAAGATTTCGCGCTTACACACGCGCATACGACACGAGACTTCGAAAGGCAGGTGCCTTTCACCCGTTAGAATCGATTACTCTGCAATCGTTTTGCATATATATGTGATGCAATATCGTCGATGATGACGATGACACGGGGACTCTTTTATTCGTTTTTTTTTTTTTTTTTTTTTTTGGAACAGCCTGTACAGAGTTTGCGTAACCGGAAGGCCACATTTCCTCGCTAAGTGCTTTTGATAGACCGCCCGCCATTTGCGCGCCGTCGATAGGTCGTTTCGATCGATGAAAAAAAATTTATGTAATCGAAGCGTCGGTGGAGAAATTATTTTTGCCGTGTCATTGAGGATTAAATTATTCCGTATGAAAGGACGCGTTACGTTACCGATCATTCGTCAATAACCGCTCGACAATGAATCATCGGTAGAGCTCGATGCAACGATAACGCCCCGATTCCCACTTGTGTGTTCTAATAATGCAGATTATCGTTACGATTTCCAGAGAGATCGTAACGAAACTAGACGCCGGGAGTGCAGAAGGAATGCAGAAATCTCTCGTGAACTACCTTCGACGTTCTGGAGGAGGCCCAGAAGCAATACCGCGCAACAGACGAGCAGCAGCCTCCAAGTAGCTCTGCTGGTCGACACCTGAAAAGAAAGTAAAAACGGAGATAGCGCAACAGAAACGTACAAGTACAATAAACGTTTAATGAGTTTAATGCACCCGCTAATGCTACTATAAATCACTCTCAACTTTACACGGAGAATCCTCCATGTAAAATCAGTTGTGCATATAAAAGCAACCTTACATGGTTAAATCTATAATTATGATTTCTGTAAATTAAGCCGGTAATAAACTTTTTCCAGACACTCGGTCTATTCATAGAGATGAAATCACAAAATAGTTCATAGACTACTGACTCAAGATAGCATTATTTAATTTTTTTATCTCCTTGTATTATGCAGAGATATATTTTTACTGCAGAATATTAATAAAAAATTCAGCCTCGTTGAACGGAGAATTCCTTCGTTTATTCCTTTTACTTTTGTTGGCTGTCATTGATACACGTTGTATATTTCTTCCCTTTGGCGCATAACTAGTCATGCACGATAAGGTTAAAGACCCGAGATACGATTCTGCAGGATTAGTTCGCGTACTATTATTCATGTCGACGTCGACGATTGGGAGGGGGGGAAGGGGGGGGAAGAGAAATTTAGAATATCGTATTCGCGCTCGTTAGTATCTGCGATGCCTGCGATAAATGCAACAGTCGTTCGCGGTTCTGACAATCAATTACTAAGCAATCGTGGATTGTTTTACAACAGCCGTGACGAAGGATTAGCCAGCCTCCCCGTTGAAGAAACAATGAATTGGCGATCGAACGGTGACGTAGGAGTGTAATGAACCGATTGCGAACTTATTCCTCTCGAGGATAATTCGAGATTACAGGATTGAAAGTGCTGGATACGAAGCAGCAAATACAGTGCCAAAGATATATTTCACACTTTGCACTTTTCCTCCCGCAATACAACTGTGTTCAGTTTTCAATCGCGTTCTTCAATTTTACACGCAGGTTTCATGATGAAATTGTAATTTGTTCTATTAGCACGGATTAGAACGGTTGACCGACCGCATGATTTACAAGTCGATTTGTTTTTCGTTAAGAAATATTTCACAATATGTAGATAACGCAACGCGTAATATTCTCGACGTGGAAAATTGCATCCAAGTCACTGCAGATATAACGATGATATTTCAGTCGCAATGATATATATCTATATCAGAGGAAAGATTCAATTCATGAGGCAGTTTTCATCCCAGAGATGCGAAAGTTTGCGGTTTAAGTGATCCATTTCCAGAAAAATAGGAATTTCGTTGCGTATATTGGAACTTTCTTGAAAGAAAAGTGAAAATAATCAGCCAGAAGGAAATAATCATGTGAATATATTCTGCTTAAAATTATATTCTATTTGGGATAAGGGAAGGATATAAATTTTTTAAAATTATACCGAATGTGTCTTGTAAGAAAATTGATTGATGCTTTGTAATTGAAAATAGTTTTTATAATTTTTTTTTATTGCGGTCGAAGGCTAAGTAAATAATATTATTTTTGTCAATATTTAATATCGTACAGTTAGATTGTTCTGCAATTTTAGATTCTTGAGATATAAAGTATTTAAAAGCGTTAAAACAGTCATCTCCGATACACGTCCGTTGAAACAATGCCGCAACAATGGATTGTTCGCACGCTAATCGCGTTTTCACTCCAGACTCGCGTGAGATCGAGATGGAAGTCACGCTCCATCGCGTTTTTTCGCAGGACAAAGATAGACAAAGCGCTAGGATAAAATACCGCGGAGCTCGTCGTCCTCGCTCGTATTAATTATTATTGCAAACGGCAAGAAAGTCGGCGAACCGAGTCGATCCTTCTTTCGAGGCCATGGCCGACCGGGACTCTCCGCAACGAGCGGATCTTTTTTTCTTTTAACGGCATCCGTCCGACTTTGTATTCCAGCCACGAGCCTGGAAAGTTCTTAACCTCATGAACCTCCCATCAGGAGACCCGTGGAGATTGTCGTTGAATATCATTACGGGACACACGCGACTTAATGATATTCAGAGCGGTGCGCGATCCCTTCCTCCCCTCCTCCCCCTTCCCCCTTTATATCGAACCGAGCCGCCGATATAACGAAGCGAAGTGAAACTTCTCTTTCCTACGTTCCGCAAAGCGGCTGTTCCGCGCGATGCGGTTTATCGAGAGTGATTTTATCGGGGACGAGCGGGGGCCGCGGCGACGTTTTTTTTACGCCTCTTACAAATCGCTCGTGTCATTTGGAATTTCCATTCCCAAGTCAATGTGGCCTTGCCTTTCCCCGATTTTAAGATGCAACTCGATCAGATATCTAGGCGAATCTAGGCGAAAATATTCCGCATGGCTACGCGAGAGATCGTCACCTCCTCGAGACGTTTGCAACGAGTTTTTAATTCGCGACGTCGATAAAGTGAAAACGCAATTATGCCTTTAATCTTTCTGTTCCGATTTCACTTCGCATGAAGATTTATGTCGTACAGAACAGAATTGGATTAAATCTACCGTATTGTTATAAACCTGTGTAGATCATAACTTATTAATATATGCATGATTTTGGGTCCGAGAATTACCGATAAAGTTCCTTTCCTATTAAATAATGAGTTTTTAAAAGTAAACGAGATAACGCTCTTATTTAACCGTAATGTCCAAATTCAATTTGAGAAAAATTTTCTATTTTTAATAACGTATAATTTCGGAATAATTGCATATCAAATTGATTACTGAAGATCTGTAGTGTTACATTATTAATCTTCACTTAATTATTACTAACAATTATAATTGGAGTGAAAATCTTATCTGAGAACATTTTATACACTTCGAAGACGTTTCTTAGCATCATTTATCTTCTATGAATGTCACTGCAAACGTGAGCGGACAACGAGAGCTCGCGCTCTACATTCGCTTCATTTACTCGTATTTCCTGACGCATGCTACACAATGCATCATCGAACGAAAAATTATCCGTGTCCGCCTCCTTTCTCATTTTTTTTTTTTTCGCTTCATTGCTCATT